CACGCTTCCAGGCATGAGAAACCCCTCCCCAACAGTCGCAAACGCCGAGGATTTCCGCATGTCATAAAATGTGATCTCGGACGACTTATGCGCCATTTCACACACTCTGGCCTATGAAACATTTCATGTTTAAGGAGTATCAGTTCATGGAACGTCGTTCAAGACGAGCGCGAGGTGGTGACTCAAACGAACAAAACGTTAAATGTGCAACAAATGCTCAAACTTCAAGCATCTAGGATCTACTTAAATGCGGTTTCTGAACAAAAGAACAAAGAACAGCGGAAGAGGGTGCGCAGATGCGGGGAAATACAATTCTGGAACAGGATAACGGTTCGGAAGACTCACAATAATGAATCATTGCTGTCATAAAGATCGCTGCGCTCTCATATTTCTAAAGTAGATAAACGAACAGGAAATGGAAATTTATCAACGAGGGCAGGTCGCTCTGTTCTCCGCTGCACATGACTGGAGGCAATCAGGGACCTCCTTCATTTCCTGAAGCTTAGGATGCGGCCTTGATCTCTGTTTCTATACAATGATATAGGAGTGACTTATACTGTTTAAGTAGAAATTAAAGATTTATGGCAAGCACAGCGCGCAGTCTCCTATTTCCTTTCAACAGTGCTATTCATTTACCTTCTGAAGTAGACAGGGCTATGACTAATGAGTATCACTGTACGGGAATGAAGCATGAGACTACCTGCTGTAGCAATCATCCCGCTGCATCGTATATTTTACCTCAATAAAATTTAGCACTTCCGGTTCATGGCATCATAAGAAAGAGCAGCACCGCACCATAAGCTCACCAAAATAGTGATCATCCAAAGCGCATTGTCGACAACAGTGTGCCAACGAAACATAGATCGGTTGAGTTCATCACAGTTCACTTGGTACCGCTAAACAATGTCTCCTCCGGGCAGTAAGTGCAGTTCACATGTTCAGTAAAGCAACTGGCACAACAAGCGTTAATCTTCCTACAGACGACTAGTACACCTGGTATCAAGCGCTAGCCAACCGGCTAACGTTAGTGCAGCTGAATCATTTGCCATCTTTGGCGTCAACACCGTCGCTAGAGTACTCGACAGCGTTATACATCCGTTGTAGTGCTCGCATTTTACGCTCGAAGTTCGGGTAGTCATAAATGGTTTAAACTTCAGTAATTAGCCTTTTGTTTTTCTATGCATAGCGCAATCTATGAGATGCTAAGAAGCAAAGAACTGCTTGACTTTGTGATAACTTGCATCAGGTGACATTTCCCAATATTCTGTGAGGCCAAACTCTGACAAAGACGCCTTCTACCGACATCGTATTACGAATGCTTTAATATGAAGATGAAAGAGAAACTGATATCCAAACGATTCGAAGCGTTAATACGTTAGAACGTTTGATTTTTCCTTACAAACGTGACTAAAAAATATTTTACAAACAGTAAAATGGAAATGTACCATAAACGAGTCGGTTCTGATCGTTTCGTCAAGTCGATTCGAGCAGCGATAAGTCAAACTTGCTGTCAGATGACGTGAATTCGTCCTCGGACAAGACGAAATATGATTCACATGCGTCAGCGACCACAAGGTTCAGGCCACACATGAACAACACGAAAAGGAAGACGGTGACAGTAACGTAGACAGGAACAGCAATGGCCCAGTACCTGTCAGGCAGGTGTCCTAAACCAAATTCGGTCAGGTAACCGGACGGGCAGACAGCCCAAACGACGTAAAAGACCAGGCCGAAACAGGAAACGAGAAACAGAACGAATCCATAGATGCCGCGCTCAGGTCTAGGAGCAGGCGTGTGCTCTGGTATCGCCTAAAATTCGTACTCATATTTAACCACCACTCAACATAATTAGCTTACCATGGTAATTATAGGTAGCACTGAATATGCAGGAAGATCATTAATTCATTTCTGAGGGCAGTCCAGCTGCGTTGGACCGGTCTGGCTGCCTCTGCCAGTGCTTTCCTACCACGCTGGGTCTGACAATGATCACATATAAGTCTGAAATTCAAGCACTGTTTGAAGTTTAAAGTTTTACTGATTAAAGTAAATCACAAGGCCACATTTTAACATCACCATAAGGCAGAATGAATGAGTATACAAGATAACAAAATTAAAATGATTATCAAACAACGCAGGAGTAGAAGAATTATCGCGTTCGAGATATCTTAATATACGGAATGACATAGCTGTTGTAGCAAGATGGCAACAGCACCTTACGAAAGAAGCTATGCGAAATGGCTATAAGAAATTATACTGTCGTTTGAAGCTTTCAAGATGAGAGAAAATACGAGCCGAGGCTGCCATGACAGATTTGGGAAAAATTCATTCGGTGCAAACACCGTGGCGTGCTGACATCAAACAACAAGAAATCATTATGAACATTGTGAGAAATCTTCCTGCGGAGGAAGGGTAACCCGAAGAAATGCGGACGCAGTCCGAAACACTCGACCAGCTTCACCACAAATTAAGTAGTTTAGAGTCCGGTCATTTAGGAGGAAGAACAACCTCCCCATTTCAAAATCGCATGCGCGGGCGCAAAGGGCGTGGAAGACAAAAGCCTACACCTTGTACTGACTATTACTCCGAGCAGGCAGCTATTAGGTTGATATCATATGACCACATCATTACACCATGCCTTCCCCGTCGATTGCAAGTCAACGATTTCCGGTCCCTGTTTCTCTGCTGATTACACCGAAGCAACGCCAGGTTAATTTGTTGCTCAATAGAATTAGCGGTCAAGACAACAATTATCCGTTCCTGGAAGTTGGAGAATCAGACACATCCGCTGTTCGGGCTGTTCAGTCTGTAGAGAGTCATACTCAGTACCGAGAGATGCAGGGTTCGCCCCCGATAGGAACATTCGATTTTCATCCTTCGGAGATCGATAAATGACAACTGCTCTGCGGGAAGAACTGAGGAGGTAACAAGCCGTATTTCCTAATATGGGCATGCTAAAGATTAAGGCATTGAAACAGACATTAGCACCCTATAATTAACTTCATGAAAAGGGTGCCAGAAATGAAGTCATTATAAGTTAAAAAAGGGCTACATTGCACCAGTTACAAACTTTAGGTTCTTTGCTTTAGTTATGCGATGCTGCTCTAAGCCGCCTTCCTACCACTGCGCCACAGCACCTCTCACCCTGTGAAAAACTATCACATTAGTAATCCGACGGTCATGAATATACACGATGATGATATGTAGATCGACATACACTGGAAATATAAAGGCGACTAAACAGAAACCCTATAACCATTGAAATGTGAGGCAGATCGTGATCAAACCATCTCCTAATTCTCTTACTGTGCTCGTTCAGTGAACATTACATCGAACATCTGAGTCAGCATTCGCAGTTTCTCATTACCTCTGCCAAAAGGTAGTGATTACTACGATTACTACGTATTACAAGGAAAAATTCCTCACAAAACGAGGACCCATTTCTATACTGTTCATTCAAGTAGCATGCCGATTTACTGGTCGACGTTTGCCGTGGTTTCCTTCTCTCAGGCGACGCTGGAGAGCTCCCATTACAGGTAAATGCTCGACTAGTTTGTACAACATATCTAGCCTCCCTTTCGCAACCCCCACATCTAATACTCATGACAGCCGCGCATAGGAATAGACATGTTACACGACACAATCCAACGGGTGGTGCAACACGAAACCCAAATAGGCAACCAAATGCAAGAATCGGTATCATACGCCGTGAAATTCGCTATTTGAAAAAATATCACTTAGATCACTTGCTCCGACGAATCGCGCCGACCGCCAACACCTTCCATTCCTCGAGGTTTTGAGCGTTCTCCCTCAAAAGCGCAGTTTTTCTGGCTACTGATAGAACATTCCAACCGTTGTGGTGGGCGATCAAGCGGATTAATCCCCCCCCCCGACGGTACCAGTCGAGGATCAGCGCCGACCATCACCCGTTGGTTCGTAGTAGTAGTGCTACCTACGAGGCCCACTGTAGCTTCTTCCTTGCTTGCGGCGGCGAAATCCTTCAATCCCATACGACGTCTGACCACTTTATTGAGAAAGTGATCGTAATCTGAAATTCCTAACATTCTTCTTTTCACAGCCTTCTCGGCTACTGATAGCTGGCACTCTTCAGCTTTAGTGAGTAATCAAGTCTCACAACTATACAACACTACCGGCACGACTTTGTAATTGGCGTGGGAGTGGTTTTTTCCCCCTGATATTACCTAGTAGGAAGTCCTTCATGAAAAAAGCGCACGTCAATCGGTTCTCTTTCCCCGTTAAATTTCTTCAGACTGATTGTGCCGTATGTTGATCTCTTGGCGCAGGTAAATATATTTATAAACTTCATCGATATTCCCGACGTTTAATATTACCTTGGCCTTTGAGGAGACATGCGCCATTTATTTATAAAAACAGCAACACGCTTTAGCACACAAACAATATGTTCAATCGGATGATTATCTGGCATCGACGTTACTGCCAGTGTCAAACAGACATTCTTAAACATAGAGTTGGGCTAGATTCGCAAATCCTTTTCTGCAATGCCAGAAAACGTGCTGGCTCCAAGCCACGAACTGAAGAAGGCATATACAAATACCCATGCCTATAGAGAAGGAAGCAACTATTTGGTTTGCTCTGAATTCTGACGAGACTTAATGCCTCCGTCGGGTCATCATGACCGTAACGAAAGTCAGCATTTGAAAAATCTCTGCGATGAAACACATCACTTTACACAGTCCTCACTTAACAAAAATATGTTACATTTACTCTCAACTACATTTCTGCTTATGATGATTTTTAATGCCTTACAAATGACATTTCTGTATTCAAAAAGAGATAACCGGACTACGCTGCACCTGTCTACCGTATATGAGGTAATGATACACATGATCAATTGCAACCGCTAGTGCAACATTAAGGATAATGGTTTCATTGGAATCGTCAAACCCTTGCTATATCCCGTATGTTAAATATTTATTCATTCAAATTTAAGAAAATTTAACATGCATGATGTGGCTGTCCGCGCAAAAATTAAGTAATACATAGTTGCACGTCGGTAGACGTAAACATGTTGTGCAACAGCAGTTGTAGCGACCTAAGAGGCTGGAAGTAGGCTGTTTCGAACAAATTGCTGTATTGCCATAGATGTAGTGAGTTATGATCATGATATGTTGCAATTTGTAATATGCAGGTGCCAATATTTCATTCATTCGTAATGCATCATTTACTCGATTCGCTATCGCTGTTTTTGCATGTCATCATCACTGTGGTATGATATATCTATCTTCACTTTCCTACAAAATGACCCTTGGCAGCAGCCGTTACAACGTGCATTGGATTGTGTAGGGCGGATGAAGCGAAGGAGTTCTTCATATAGCCGATTCTGGATGGAGATCATCTCTCACGATGTAATGGATTAAAATGGCTGTAGAAATTTTACATTATGATGCGATTATGTTCGGTGAATTCAGCCGGTTTGTCATTGTTATTCTTGCATCCGCTACAATTACATACACTGCAATTATTCCTTTCTTCAATTATGATATGTATGTACAAGTAAAGCCGCTTCGACAGTCGTTGTTTATATTCAGTTTCTTACCTTATACACTTAATTCCAGTTCCTAATCAAAATATCGCTAAGATACGTCTTCATGTCCACATATATGCACTTGTTGCTGTGCCTCTTTTATGACCGAGCGCCAAATTCTTTGATCTTTAAATTAAACTTTGCTGCGTTATTCACTACGTCTGACAATTTGGCCCAAAATTTTTTAGCACTATCGACCTGTCAGGCCGGCGTGGTCAGTTTGCAACCGAAGCGTCACTCATCAGGCGCACTTAGCGATCTCCATGTCGCTCATTTATCGTTTTGGCGCTGGCATTTAACATTTATTATTACTTATCACATCTACAGCTGGTCCGACGATCGTCGTTACTCGCAGCTAATGATTGAATCGACTGCCTGTGGATTTATTTTACAACAGTAGAAATTATGGGCATTTTTTGCGGACCAGTTGAACAGATTGAATTCATTAAATTTATGTGCTCCCTTTCGGATAGGAATAATTACGAATTGCAGTGAATCCAACACCCATTGCTTTATATTTATGACTAATTTTGACATATTTTCCCCAATTCTCTGCAGAGCGATTTGTCTCTTAAGTAATGCACGCGTCAGGGGATACCAATTACATCTTAAGTTGGTCTTTATCTAATGGTCCTAAAAGGGACCTTTGGAATTCGATCTAAATTTTCTGAAACAAATTCTGCTAACCCGATCCTGATTGTTCCCACCATTTCACCCATTCCAACGGAGCGATGGAGTTGTGGGCTGCCCGTGTATTCCCGCGTTGCATTGTGCGGCACCTCTTCTGAAATAGTCCGTGTTTACCTTTCAAAGCTTAAATCACTGCATGGAAATGGGCAGTCCCATGCAACTTGACGAATTTACTACTTTCACAGTATCTTAGACCCTGATGCAGAGGTCACCTTCCATAAAAAGTCTTTCCTGGCGCTCCGGGCGTTCCAACGGCTAGCACAGCAAATCGGCTCACTTCAGCCGGATCATCCTTGAATTCTACTGCTGTCCAGTTGACTCCAAATTATGTAGATATGGCATATCGGTGCTTACACGTTCGGCCGTCCAGCCCCCCACCCCGTAGAAAATGGACAAACTCCAACAGAAATATTTACCAAATAATTTTGAGATGTCTGGGTCAGCGCTGCTCAGCACTCGAAAGGAGCATTCATCCATTTGAAGAATTTGATCGTGACAGCTGATGTCCGAGATGTTCATCGATTGAGCGTACAAGCGCCTTCTCCACAATTTTTTCGTTGGTTAGGTCTGCAGAGACTTCTTGCAGCTTCATATCGTCCTTGACGCC